TTCATAGTAGTTACTGATTATTCTTTTGATTTCTGCTGTGTCCGTTGTGATTTCTCCTCTTTCATTTATGATTCTGTGTATTTGTGCTTTCTCCCTTTTTTCCTTTGTGAGCCTGGCTAGGGGTTTGTCTATTTTATTTATTTTTTCAAAGAACCAGCTCTTGGTTTCATTGATCTTTTGGATTGTTTTTTTAGTTTCAATTTCATTTATTTCTGCTTTGGTTTTTATTATTTCTTTTCTTCTACTGGTTCTGGGGTTTTTTTGTTGTTCTTTTTCTAGATCTTTGAGCTTAGAGATTAGGTTGTTTCTTTGAGTTCTTTCTTGTTTCTTGATGTGAGCTTCTATTGCTATATATTTTCCTCTTATTACTGCTTTTGCTGCATCCCATACATTTAGGATATTGGTGTCCTCCTTGTCATTCAATTCAAAGAATTTTTTAATTTCTTCTTTGATCTCCTCGTTAGTCCAGTGGTCTTCCAGTAGTGTGGCTTTTAATCTCCATGAGGTAGGATAGTTCCTTGCCTTCTTTTTATGATTTATTTCTAGTTTGATGCCTTCGTGGTCAGAAAAGATGGTTGGTATGATTTCAATCTTGGTGTATCTGTTGATGTTTGTCTTGTGCCCCAGTATGTGATCGATCCTGGAGAATGATCCATGTGCGCTTGAGAAAAATGTGTACTCCGTTTTTTCTGGGTTTAGTGTTCTATAGATGTCTGTTAAGCCCAAATGCTCTAGGTCCTTATTTAGAGCTTTAGTTTCTTTACTTATTTTTTGTCTTGTTGATCTATCCATTGTTGATAGTGGTGTGTTGAAGTCTCCCACTACATATGTGTTTTCTCTGATGTCTGTTTTCAGAGAGGACAACAGTTGTCTGATATATTTTGGTGCTCTTTCGTTTGGTGAGTATATGTTAATGAGTGTTATTTCTTCTTGAAGTATTGTCCCCTTAATCATAATGTAGTGACCATTGGGGTCTCTTTTTATTTTTTTGAGTTTGAAGTCTGTTTTATCTGATATAAGTATAGCTGTTCCTGCTTTCTTTTTTGGCCCATTTGCTTGTAGGATTGTTTTCCATCCTTTGACTTTGAGCCTATTTTTATCTTTTGTAGCTAAATGTGTTTCCTGGAGACAGCAAAAGGTTGGGTTTTGTTTCTTAATCCAGGCTGCAACTCTGTGTCTTTTTATTGAAGAGTTTAGTCCATTTACATTTAGAGTTAATATTGATATGTTAGCATCTGTATTTGCCATTATGTTTGTCTTTCCTTTGATTTTATTTATTTATTCTTTTAATAACTTTTTTTTTTTTTTGGTCTTCTTTCGTTGTTATTCGTCCCTCTGAGGTTCTGGCTTTAGGATTCCTTGTAGTATTTTTTGGAGTGGGGGTTTAGTCGCAATGAAATTCCGGAGTTTCTCTTTGTCTGGGAAGGTCCATATTCTTTCTTCATGGAGGAAAGAGAGCTTTGCGGGATAGAGTATTCTTGGTTGGCATCTGTTTTCTTGGAGTCTGTTGACTATGTCCCTCCACTCTCTCCTTGCCCGTAGTGTTTCTTCAGAGAAGTCTGATGTCAGCCTGATTGGTTTTCCTTTGAATGTTATCTGTTTCTTCCCTCTTGTCAGCTTCATTATTTTTTCCTTGTCCTGGATTCTTGGGAGCTTTACTATTATGTGTCTTGCTGTGTTTTTCCTTTCGTCGTGGAAGTTTGGTGTTCTTCTTGCTTCTTGTATATCAATTTTCAGCTCCTTCTTCTCATTTGGGAAGTTCTCTTCAATTATATCCATGAATATTTTCTCTGTTCCTACATCTCTCTCCTCTCCTTCTGGAATTCCTATAACTCTTATATTTCCTTTCCTCATGGAGTCAGATAGTTCCCGAAGTCTTTCTTCATTCTTCTTCCTTCGTACTTCTCTTTCCTTTTCTGTTTTGGTTCTTTTTATTTCTGTGTCTTCAAGATTACTTATTCGTTCTTCCATTTCATCTATTCTGCTTTCATTGCTTTTCCCAGAGTTCTTTAGTTCCTCCATTAATTCTTTGATCTCCTGCATTTCTCTTACTTCCCTCTTTAGGGACTCAATTTCCTTCTTCTGATCTATCACTTTTTTAATCATGGCAATTTTAAATTCTCTTTCTGGAAGGCTCAGAAGTTCTTCCAAGTTGCTGTCGTTGCAATCTGGGGAGTGGTTTTCTTCTTGTGGTGTGCTTCTTTCCTGAGGAGTTTTTAGGTTGCGTGTGGTTCTTCTACTCCCTACTGTCTGTTTTCTAATTTGTCGTATGCGTTGGGACACTGTGTTGCTCGGACTGACTGACATCTTGGGTGAACTTCTCCGCTCCCCTCTGGCTCTTCCAGGAGCCATCTCTGTCTTCTGGGGGAGCTTTCTGCTGGTTTTAGGCAGTTTTTACTGAAGAAATGTCCCTGTTCTCAAATGGCGAAGCGGGATGCAGTCCCTGCGCCTCCGGTTTCAGGCACACTCTTCTGCGCACCCGGTCTGCCCCGGACGTGGGTGCCTGCTCCCTCTGTGGGCTCAGACTGCTGGTCGGAAGGGGCCTGGCGTGGAATAACTTCCCGGCTGGCCACTGGGTCCTCCAGAAACCTTCTGCCCTTTTCAAGCAGTCTTAAGAAATGTCCTGTTTTATAGGGTGTTAGTGACTTTTTTTTTCCTGGTCGCTAGGTGGCGCCAGAGATCTCTCCTATTGTCCTTGGGGGGCTGTTTTTCGCCTCCCCCCACCCCGTGGGACAGAGAACAGAGCGGGAATGGTAGGGTACACCTCAACAGCTTTGGGGTGCTGTGTCTGCCTTGTGCCCCACCGTCGTGGAGAAACCACGCCCCGAATTTTCGTGCCCCGGGTCTCAGTTCAAAGCCCTCAGTTCCAGGACGCGGGCTGTAGCCCAGTTCAGTGGCGCGGGAATGGCGCCTTTTGAACCCCGCTCCCGTGCCTGGGCGCCTGGTTCCTGCTCACTCAGGGAGGGACCTTCACCTCAGTGAGGACCTCCGCGCGTCTCCCCGCAAGCCTAGGTCGCAGGCGCGGGGACCTGGGCAGCCGCGATCCAGGTCTGCACTTGCTTTTCAAGCGCACCGAGCGCGCCGCGTTTCCGCGCAGGCTTACCGGCAGCCCGGGCTGTGTGCGCGTCTCCCGGGGTCTTTGTTCTTCTCTAATGGCGCCCGGAGCCGTTCGCTCACCGCTGCGGCGGATCCTGCAGGGTTCGCCTCAGCTCCCGTTCACGGGGTGTGGTGGCTGCAATAGTTCCTTTCCACTCACAGTCCCGCTTGCTGCGTCGTTTGTTCTTGTGGGTCGTTTTGGTTTGTTGTTTTCCTCCTCTCTGCTGGTCGGAGAGTGCCGCCTCTGTGGGCGGGGGAGGGGAGCAGGGTTCTGCGCTTCCCTCCCTTCTAGTCCTCTTTTATGGCCACTTTCTTCTTCGGGCAGTTCGCTGGCGTCACCTGTTTATCTTCCGTGTCCCAGTTCTCACTGGGACCTGCCGCTTTTCCTCCCTATTCACTTTTTTTAATGGGAGATCTTACTCGCAGCGTCTCCTCGCCGCCATGTTGCTCCGCCCCCCTTGCAAATTAATTTTTCTTCAGTAAAACAAACTTAAAAAAATTCTCATACAAAACCGAAGGAAGAAACCGCATTTAGAACTGTCTTAAATATTGCAAGTTGCCTGCAAGTTACTTAACTCGGAGAGATTCTATTCAATACTAAAAGTTGCTGAGTCACTATGGCACTTTAGTGCTGCCCTACTCAAAGCTTGGTCCCTGGACCAGCAACATCACTGGCAACACCCGGAGAATGTCAGCAGTGTAGCATCTCGAGCCCTGCCCCAGCAAGCTGAATCAGAATGTACATTGTAACACGCTGGTGGAAATGTTTAAATAAGATCCTCCAATGCATTTTAAATTTGAGAAGTAATGTTTTAGTATGTGAAATGGAACAGAATGAAGAATAATTCTTTGTTATCATAATGAGAACATGTTCTGCCTTCTCATAAGAATTTCCATGACCCTTCTAACACTTGTAGAGACTATAAAATACAGAATTGCTTGGAATGTTGGCTACTAATTGTAAAACCTGCATAAGTAGAAGTAACATTAACATGTCGTTTTGTGGAAAGTTTATTTTCCAAAAGCACCTTTACTGTACCTCTTTAAGTTTATAGGATAGTGTTAAAAGTAGTAAAAGTAGAAAATTATTGTTTCTGTTATACTGAAGCTTGGAAAGGGGGGGTGATTTTTCCATAGTTACAGTGCTCCCCACTTTGGTGACCCACCCACATGCATGTTGCCACATAGCACTGATAATAATGACTAGAAGAGAAATAGTCAAAAGTTGTATAATCAATCCCAGCTACTTAAATGGAGCTTTGATTAACCTTGATTCAGACTTGACCCATCTTTTTTCAGTGTCTGTGGGCAATATTAGCTGGAATATAATTTCCTCCTTTTTTTTCTTGTTCCACTACCAGGTAGTAGAGTCACCCAAAGCAGGAAGTCTAAAAGATAAACACAGGCGATCCACAATATTATTCTAACCTCCTATCACTGGAAATTGGTTTCTGATATATGTAAAATCTCCATTCCTGGCCCAATGCGCTATCTCAGCTATCCCTGTGTAATTATTGTACATTCTGTGGGTGCTGGGTCTATGGGTGCTCATAAGCAACACAGATTAGGTATGTAAATGCTTCGTTTAGCTGAAAACTGCCTGCTGGAGGGTGGGACATCACAGGTAGCCCGAAAGAACTTTTGAGTTGGATTGATATTCTGATTCGAGTTCATTCCATGAGCTCATCAAAACTTGTTTCTTAGTTATTTGCCTTCACTATGTCATATATCTTGTATGATTTATGGGGCCCTGGGCATCTCACCCATATGATGTCCGTTGGTAGTGTTGTGTGTGTGTGTATGGGGTGGGGGCGGGAAGCCTTCAGGCATAGCTGTAAAAATAATCACATAACAAATCAACAAATCTTTTTCTCTGTTTTTTTTTTCACCCTTTGCATTTCTAGTTGCCAGGATCTTCAGATGGAGATTGCCCTTCTCCAGGAGCAGATCTCTCATCTGCAGTTTGTGATTCATTCCCAACACCAGAACCTGCGCAGTGCCATCCAGGAGGTCAGCTTAATCAAGTGTGTTTCTCCGGTAGATGGTCTGTTTACAGAGTGGAGACCAAACACGAGTGGCTTGTCTGGGCTAAAAATCAATGAAGCTCTTCCCCTCACTTAGGTTTCCTTTTAATTTCTCATGCAACGTGGTCATTTCAAAGCCCTCTCTTGTCTGTGAGCCAACACTTAGAATGTTATCACTAAAGACGTTTGGGAATTTGTGTTGAATTGATTTTTAGATGTTTCAGTGATTTTTTTTTTTTTAAGTATTCTGAACCAGATAATGCTCACTATTCTTTAGAAGATTTTATAGATCAGGAGATTCAGCTTTTCTTGCAGAAGAAATGAGCTGTTTTTCTGAGCTCATAAGCAGAAAATTTGCGCTGGAGGGATGTTAAGACAGGGTGTAGCCTAGTCTTTCTTCTCTAGGAACACCTGGTGGGCGAAACAAAAGAGGTGATTGTAGTGGCGGCCAGTTGGATGCAGCTTGTACACTCATCTAGGCCACTAGGATATATATTCATCTGATTTTGGGGGTGATCTCCTTTAGAATTAAAATAGAAATGTTATTCCTTTTGTTACCACATAACATTTGTTCTCAAAAAGAGTCCTCCCACATCACTCAAATGTCTTTGTGACGTGCATGGACATTTGTCCTGGCTTGGCTGTGAGCTCAACACAAGGCTAGAGAATTGAGTCACAACACTTGAGTGCCAGAAAGAACCTACAGGGTAGCCCACACTGCCATCTGACGGGTGAGAAAACTGAGGAGCACATTGGTTAAGTGACAGAGACGGCAGCATCACAGCTGACCTTCAGACCCATGAGTCCCCTTTCTTTCTGCACCATTCTGCACTTCATCACCCTGCATCCCCAGTTCCATGTTACCTCTGGACAGATGCTTTATCTTTCTTTTCTTCTTTTTTTTTTAAAGATTTATTTTTTATTTATACAATAGCTGGGGTACAGGCCAGAGGCACGGGAGGGTGAGAGGATTCACCAGAGACAAAGTGGTGAGCAGAACAGGCAGAAGGACCAAAATACACTGCTGAGGGGAGCAGCGGGAGAGTCAGGAGAGGTCTGGCACGCCATATGGGAATCTCCCTGGCTGGCCAGGAATTGAACCTGTGCTGCAGAGGCTGCGGACAGTTTCACAGCGCTATGCTCAAACTGCTGTGCCACTGGGAGGTCCTTTTTTTTTTTTAAGATTTATTTATTTATGCATATAAGAACTGGGGTACAGGCAAGAGGTGCAGGGGGTGAGAGGATTCACTAGAGACAGAGTGGGGAACAGAACAGGTGGATTAACTGAAATACACTGCTGAGGGGAGCAGCGGGCGAGTCAAGAGAGATCTGCTGTGCCCTGTGGGTCACCTCCCTGGCTGGGGATCAAACTAGTGCTGCATTAGCTGCAGATTGCTTCATACTTCTCATACTTCTCATGCTTAACCCCTTGCACACCAGGGAGACCCCAGATGCTTTATCTTTCAAAGCAAAGCAGGCTCACCTCCTGCTGACACAGGTTGACTAACCAGATTTCTGCCTCAGGGCTTCCCAGGCAGGGGCTTCTTGCCCCACATCCATTGACCTCTGCATCTGCAGGATGAAAATGTTAGGTACTTGAGCAGTGGAAGGGGGACCGGGGCTCCTTTCTGCAGGATGTCCTCTCCTGAATTTGGCTGGCATGGGTTTTCCAGAGAGGAAAATGTTTAACAATGTTGTCTGCCCATCTGTGCATTTTGAGCCTCAGGTACAAATTTGCCCCACAGTTTCGATAGCCTGCTGAGTCCACTAATGCTTTGTAATGTATTGTTTGTATTTGACGAACATTATTTGACCACAGAAATCTATACAATTTCTGACTTAAGTAACTATTCCCTGTTGTCTAATGAGATTTTTCCGATTGTGTTTCCTAATTCTTAGATGGAAACGTTAAAAACGAATTTAAAAGAACAAGATAAAAAAATTGAAACTCTGAAAGAGAAAGTCAATATACTTGAAGCCCAGGTAAGGAGCAAATCTGGTGTATATTTCTCTGTGTGTGTGTTTCTGTGTGAGAGAGTTTTCCTGCATTGGAGTGTGCTAATGATTCTGCGAACCCTTGTCCACTCAAGTGTCCAGTCGTAGCTGGTCTGTTTATAGCAAGAGACTTCTAAAGAAACACTCTGCACAGTTTTTCTTTTTCTCTTTTTTTTAAGATTTATTTATTTTTGCATGCAAGAGTGGGGGTGTAAACCAGAGGTGCAAAGGGTGAGAGGATTCAGCAGAGACAGTGGGGAACAAAACAGGCAGACTGCCTGAAACACTGCTGAGGGGAGCAGCGGGTGAGTCAGGAGAGGTCTGCAGTGCCATGTAGGTCAGCTCCCTGGCTGGGCATCGAACTCATGCTGCAGTGCTGCAGTGGCTGGCATAGCTTCATAGCACTGAGACTTTAACCCCTGCATCAACAGGAAGCCCAAACTTATTTACTCTTATTTCTACTTTTGCATCTCTTTCACCTTAATTTCCAGCTCTGACATTCATCTCATATTTCATGCACCTAGCTTCTTTTTTTAAAAAAGATTTATTTATTTTATACAAGAACTGGGGTATAGGCTAGAGGCGTGGGAGGGTGAGAGGATTCACCAGAGACAGAATGGGGAGCAGAACAGGCAGATGGACTGAAGGCACTGCTGAGGGGAGCAGCGGGTGAGACAGGAGAGGTCTGCTGTGCCATGTGGATATCTCCCTGGCTGGCCGGGAATTGAACTGATGCTGCAGAGGCTGTGGACAGCTTCATAGCACTGCGCTCAACCCGCTGCGCCACCAGGGAGGCCCCACCTAGCTTCTTCACTGATGACGTGTTCATGTACATGTATCTTCAGAAATTACTCCATTTTCTAAACTTTGAGGATTATTCCACTTCATATAATCGCCATCATCTCTAAAATTGAATCTAGTTCCAAGAGTGTGCTGATAGAAGATTAAGTATGCAAAAAATGAGGTTCATTTGGAAAACTGTCAATAAACTCTCCTTGGATAGAGTCATAATAATGGCAGGCATATTCTGGTCAGTGGTTTGTAGTTTTGTAAACTAATGATATGATAAAACTCATGCATGGAGCTGTTTTAATTAAATGAAAAGCTTGTGAAAGCCCATGAATCAAGAATAGTTAAACATGGCAGATGAAATAAATCAATGTGGAATTTGAAATAAATTAAAATAAAGGCAGTCTAACATGACAAATCTTATGCGTTTGTACTGTCTGGTACTCGACGACTTGAGAAACGAATAGCTTGTTTTGGAAAAAATCCAAATAGTTTCTATGTAATTGTCCAGCCACAGAATGTTTTTATTCTAATGTTCATTTTCATCATGATAATTATGTTTCAAATTGCTTTCTAGCTTGAAAAGTACAGTGATAGGGGCCTGCGCTTGTTTGGAGTGTATGTTAGAACAAACTCCTTTAAACAGGGAACATCCTTATCAATTTATCAAATTTGAAGTACTTTTCCTGAGTGAGACTTAAGTGCTTAGCTCTTGAAAAATCACAGTGAAATAATTGAGGTGTGAGGACTTTTGCTCCATCTTTTAGGTATTACTATAGATGCCGAGGGATGAGGCATAAAATGCACATCTTTGCTTTACTCTGTGTATTAATTACCTGTCTATTAGAATCACCTGTGCAGTTCTGAAACCTTCTGAATCCCAATTGCAACCAATTAGACTCTCTAGGGGTGGACTTAGTCTTCAATAGATTTTAAATCTCCCCAGATATTTACAAAACTACCAACATGGAAAACTATTAGTTCAGCTCAGTGGTTCTCAAACTTGAGCAGACATTAGAATCACCCAGTGAGCTTCTTAAAACACATCACCTGATCTCCCAGGCACCCGACCCCAGAAGTTGTGCTGGGGATTGATTTTTAACTCTAGTAACTTCTCAGGTTCTTTTGATATTGCGGATACACTTTGTCTAAATCTCTATTTACTTCTTCTTTTCCACCTAGTCCATTTCACCTTGTCTTCGGGTCTAGGTTATAGCTCCTGGTGTATGAAAATGTCTTAAATTATTTTAATCGTGGTGACTTCTGTCTGTGTCTTTTATATAGTCATTAAGTACTACTGCATTATGGCCTCTCTTGCATTGTTTTCATTGTATCTACTTATTAATTTAAAATATTTTGATGTTCATGTTTGGTTTATCAAGTTTACACTAAAAATAAAGGGCATTCTCATGCTTATTCACATTCCCTCTGCTTCCTGAAGTGGTGTTGTTGGGTGTGGAGGAAATTTCTCCCACCCCATCTGAGTTTTTCTAAGTTTGGACTGATAAACAAATTGACATCAATTAGTTTATCAGGGACATTAGTCAGGGACAGAGTCAAAATTTAATAACATACATATGTAGATTTTATGGTTGTAATTCTAAGATATAATGTAGTACACTGGGAATATTTATCCTGTGTTTAGGGACCTAGGATGTCAAGGAGAGGGGTGTGGAGACTTAACTTAACAGGTTAGGAGAGAGGGTCACCTTATCCTTACTCTACAACAAAGATGAGATTATTAGATGAGGACAACATGGTTACGGATAAACTTACAACCAGACAAAACGCCCTGAAACTACATTCTTCTAGGTCATGAAAGAGGGAGCAGTGATTGTTTATTTGACTAGAAAAGGGCGGACCTTTACAATGTGACGATCTTTGTTGATTAGGGAGGAGTAACTTAGGCAAGAACAGAAGATTCTCCTCAGCGGTAAGGGATTTCATCATTCTTGACTCAAAATACTGCCAACACAGGGCATCCTCAGTAATCAGCTCTGTATCTTGAGGTGATCTGATCAGCCACCTGCCAGAGACATGGCAGAAGGCTAAATCAGTGGGTGTATGTATACTTGTGGGGCTTGATGGTTGGGGAAAATTGTCGGTTAGTTTCCTGAGAGTTTGCTTTCTTCTGTTTTTTATATATATGTCTATCTCAAATCAAATAGATTGTAAATGTTAAGAGGGAAGAAATAGTCCTTACATTTCTCTTTACTTCCTGCACTGCTAAGGACAAGCATCTTCAATAATTACCTAATAATGAATGAGTCAAGCAATGATTCATTCCTGGAATCCCTTCAGAAATCACTGAATCTCTGTATTTCCTGGGGCTCACCATTTACTTATTTGTAATATAAAGAGCCCTGGCTAATTCCTCTGGTTAAAGAAAAAATAACATTTTGCAGGTGAAGAGGTTTGGGAGTCAAACAAACCTGCACGAAGCCTGCAAATTTCTATACTAATGCCTCATATACTACCTGCAGGTTATCTGAGGCAAGTTACCTAATGAATTTGAATTTTATCAGACTTGTTTCTTTAATATACAAGGTAACAAAAATTACTCTGTAGAACTACATTCATAGCAAAGAGAAGCATATATGGAAAGCACCTGGCAAAAGTCTTGACATTTGCTAAGCATTCATAATTAACTCTTTTGCTTCCATTAATATTCTAAAGCCTTTTTCTCAAAACCATGCATTTCACTGTTGGTTTACTCCAGACCTTCAGGGGATTCTACAGAAATACCTTTTAATCTTCAATGATAAGATTCTCTAAGTCCTCAGTTTCCTAAAAGGGGATGGAACTGGTGTGTTTTTATTCTTTTAATGTCACAACTTCAAGTGCCATTCTCCCATTGTCTCTTTTCAGTCTCAGACCTGTCCGTGATGGTGTGCCCTTTAATGACCTCTGGCCTGCTAGTGCAACCAACTGGCAACTCAACCTTGAACATGATGCCCCTCTGATTAAGTCTCATTTTCCAGATCTGTGAAATGAAATTGCTTGGTTTGGCTATGATATAGACAAAATATTGCCCCTGCGCTGAGAGGCCCTGACCTTGAACTCTGCCAAGAGCAAGATATTGGGCGGTTAAGCTCTTTGAACCTCAGTTTTTAGTTACAAAAATTGTAATCGAATTAGAAAATCATAGCCCATGCCTTTAAGTCTTAAAATCTGTTAGAGGCACGGAGCTGAGTACTTTTTATATTTTTATCTCATTTCAGAACCTGTGAAGGTGAGATTAAGATTGTATCTATTATACAGATGAGAAAATTAGGCATAGACATTAGCTTGCATGAGGTCACAGGTCATATATCTAGTCCGTGGCTAGGCTGTTACTAGCGTTATCTCCCAGGATTATGAGATTGGTTCCAGATTTCAAATATTATGCTATAATATCTGTTCCAACAATTTAAACATAGCAGCAGGACATAGATCATTGGACATTTGTATAAAGATAAGAAACTAAGGATTTAATGAGAAAATTGAGGCTAAAGATGGCCATGAACCGTGAGGTAAAGAACAGACGGACACCTACTTACGTGGAACTTACAATCAAGAGATTGCAAAAGAAAGACAAACATGTAATCACTATCATAAGTGTCTTTGAAAAGATTCTTTGGTAAATTTCTTACATGACATTCTTTAGAGTATAAAATATTATAAAATCAAATGTAGATAATTCAGCGCTTGAATTTCAGAGACTAAAGCAAAATATTTTAATCCCTTGGTAAATTATGCAATTTTCAAGGTATCTTTGTCTTTTCAGAGATAATAGTTAGAGGTTCTCATGGGACCCTCTTCTGTGTTCCAATAGAGTGACTAGATCAATAAACTTACTGCCTAGGAGTGATGTCAGGGTTGGGTTAATCAGAAGCATGAACCATGGGGCTATTTCATGTGCTACTGTGTGATCTGTGATCGCTGCACATTTCTTTTTCATCTTTAGAACAAAGAACTAAAAACTAAGGTGGCGCTTTATTCCGAATCTCCTAAGACAACAGTATCGAAGGCTGTCTCTACAAGGTACGGTGATTCTTGCCCTATCCTTTGCCTTCATGACTTTATTGAACTGTCATCAATGTTGACACTTGAGAGGATTCCCATCAGTTAGTCCTTACAACCTGTGTTTACCATCATCCTCCCAGTTCCTTGGGAACAGGAGCTGTGTTAATCTTGTCCACCTGAATCATTGAAGCCTAACATGTAAATACTTGCTGAGTAAGTCAATGAAAACATGTAGATGTCTTCTCCTTTAGGGTAAAATAGGCCTGATCTTGGCTTCCACGCTTTTTTTTTTTAAAAGATTTATTTATTTATTTATTTATACATGCACTGGGTACAGTCAGAAGCGCGGGAGGGTGAGAGAATTCACCAGAGCCAGAGCAGGGAGCAGAGCAGGCAGAAGGACCGAAGGACACTGCTGAGGGGAGCAGCGGGCGGCAGGAGAGGTCTGCGCCATGTGGGACCCTCCTCTGGTGGCCGGGAGCAGCCGGGGATCGAACCGGCGCTGCAGAGGCTGCGGGCAGCTTCGCAACCCAGCGCTCAACCGCTGCGCCACCGGGGAGGCCCCTGCTTCCACACTTTCTCCAAACATCACAACTCATCTTCTCTGTCATCCTTGGTGCTCCATTACTCATATTTTTTGTGCCATTAATGGAAATTTTAATCATAAATTTCTTGTGTTTATTTAAATTTCCATATTTAGTTCTCAGATCATTTGTAAATGTTAAGAGAGCAGGAATGGGCCCTTGTATCTCCCTTTATTTCCGGTATTGCTAAGGCCACGTGTTTATTTATTTATTTATTTATGCATACAAGAGCCAGGGTACAGGCCAGAGGTGTAGCGGTGGTGAGAGAATTCACCAGAGGCAGAGCAGGGAGCAGAACAGGCAGAGGACCGAAATACACTGCTGAGGGGAGCAGCGGGCAAGGCAGAAAAGGTCTGCTGTGCCATGTGGGTATTTCCCTGGCCGGCTGGGAATTGAACCTGCACTGCGGAGGCTAGGGACAGCCTCACAGCTCTGCGCACAACCCGCTGGGCCACTGGGGAGGCCCTCTTTTTTTTAAAAAGATTTATTTATTTATGCATATATTGTCTGGGTACAGGCCAGAGGTGTGGGGGGGTGAGAGGACTCACCAGAGACAGAATGAGGAACAGAACAGGCAGATCGACGGAAGTACACTGCTGAGGGGAGCAGTGGGTGAGCCAGGAGAGGTCTGCTGCGTCATGTGGGTTGCTCTCCTGCTGGCCAGGAATCAAACACATGCCGCAGTGGCCGTGGAGAGCCTCACAGACTGTGTCCTAACCCCTTGCACCACCAGGGAGGCCCTGGTTTTTTTTTTTTTTATTTTTTAAGATTTATTTTTATTTATTTATGTGTAGAAGAACTGGAGTATAAGCCAAAGATGTGGGGGTGGGAGGTTAGAGGATCACCAGAGCAGAGTGTGGAGCAGAACAGGTGGATCTACTAAAGCCTGCTGCTAAGGGGAGCAGCAGGTGAGATAGGCGACGTCTGCTTTGCTATATGTGGGTCAGCTCCCTGGACAGAGATCATACTCAGGCCACAGCAGTGACAGTGCTGAGACTTAACCCCCACGCGACCAGGGAGGCCCACTAAGGCCAAGTGTTTTGATTAACTACATAATAATGAATGAAACAAGCCACGATAATGAGCACCAAAGCAATGGTAATGATCATTGAAGTCATCACAGTCAATTTTTAATTTGTTAACAAAATCTGAAGTGCATATATATATATATATATTGATTGATTTGTGTTTTTCCATCTCCAAGTCACCCAGTGGAATAGCAGCCTCAGACACCAACACTCATTTCTCCTCACTCTTTTGTTTTAAAGATTTATTTATTTATTTATTTATACAAGCACTGGTACAGTCAGAAGTGCGAAAGGGTGAGAGGATTCACCAGAGACAGAGCGGGGAGCAGAGCAGGCAGACGGTAGCAGGCACGGCAGGAGAGGTCTGCGCGCCATGTGGGACTCTTGCCCGGTGGCCGGGGATCGAACCAGCGCTGTGGAGGCTGCGGGCAGCTTCGCAGCCCAGTGCTCTACCGCTGCGCCACCGGGGAGGCCCCTCTTCCTCACTCTTGTGCACTAGACTACATAAATTTGCCTGAGGTATTTGATTCTACCATGTAATTCTATTGTCTCTTGGGAAATTAGAATCAATCAATTCACGACCATCCATTACATCTAAGCAGTTAGCTCAGACCGGGTGGTTGGGTGGTAGTGAAGGTAATGATGGTGGTGCGGCAATGATATCTACTAAAGTCTGAGGTGCCTGATTCTGATAATTGCATGGTCTTTTCCACAGTGAACTGAAGACTGACGGCACATCCCCCTACTTGATGATGATTAGGCTACGGAAATGAACTGGCTGACCAAAGATCTGAATGAGAAAGATAATTCTGTGGGTCTTATTTATTCCTTGAACCATAGCCTAGATTCACACGTCAAGATGGCTCAATGCCAGTATTTAATGGACTTTATTACACTTAAATAACTTTGCAAGAAGATGATATTCCAGAAAATCAAGCAGTTGTCTTTTCAAGGGAAGGAACTCTATCTTCCCAATTACTAAATGATAAAAGAAACCTGGTGCTTTCCCATGATGCAGGATGAATTTTGCTTGAAATTTTAAATATCTGAATTTTGGGAGGTTTTTGCGGAATGTCAAATTTGACCTATTGATAGTGGGTTTTATTTATAAAAAGAGAATGTGTGTGTGTATGAATAAATGATATATTTTAACGAGTTGAACTTTGCATAATGAAAAGTATCTTAAAATAATCGAGGTCGTTTCTTGACACATTGTTATCAAGAGAGCAATTCCTCTACTGAATTATGGGTAGAAGAAGATTCTTTTTGCGATGATTCCCCAACCTAGACAACCCTACAAGGTGAGAACATGGCTGCCTCACGACACCCTGCGAAGCAACTGCTCTTCAGTTCTGAATTTTTCAGATAATAATTTATTTGAATTTTTCTGATAATAATTTATCCTTTTAGTAGTGAAACGAGCTCTATAAGGGCTGTAGCAGGTCTATAACCATCCAAGGGACAGTGGCCAGTAGAGGGCAGGTGAGTTCTTCACCCACATGCACAATTGTAAGACCACTCAGACTCAGGGAACAACAATAATGGCGCTAATTTAACAAATGGGAAAAATAAAGAGTTTTTAAGCCACAAGTGACCAGCTATCTCATCCCAGATAGTGTCCAGTGTCCAAAAGTTCCAAACAAAATTTCTCTCATTTATGATGGCACTGTTGCATCAACAAGGGCCTGGAGCTTGTGGCACCATGGCAAGCAGGGGCTAGTATCCAGCTCACTTTAGCTGGAGGTGCTCACAGGCAGGGCTACTGAGAACATGCTACAGCTTAGCCCACAGCCACAGTCTGAAGGTTGGGCTGGTGAATGCTGGATGCTGGACTAGAGAGCAATGGAGGCACACACCGGGAGGTGGTGCTGGACAATTAGGAGTAGTTAACAGCTCTCAGGGGTGAGCCAGACACAGAGTGCTGGTCACCCAGCAGGTCACCCATCAACAGTACTGGGCAGCACTGGCCGGTAGTGCCAGTCACAAGGCAACAGTTTAAGATACACCAGCATTACAGCTCTCTGTGAGTGTTGCCCCCCACAGATAACAACTCTTCGAGACACCAGGCTCAGGGCCTTTGGTGCTCTTTTCAGATGATGTCAGAGGCAGACTGGAGACAGGTGTGGCTGGTCTGGCCTCTGTGAAGATCTTTGGCTTCCCTGTGAAGATTTTTGGCTTCTTTCTTTGGAGGTTGGCTGCTGAATGCTTCTTTCATCTTTCTTCGTCCTTCAGAAGTTAGAAACAGAGCCTCTGAGTATGATAGGGTCCAGCCAGTTGCAAGCTGGCTCCTGCCCTGCCTTTTGTCCCCTTTCAGGGTCCCCCACCAACAAGTATGATTGGGCCATTTTCAATCCTATTGGAACAGGGCAGTAAGTGCCACTAAAACTGGCCAAGGACAGTGCCCAGATAGTTTACCATCTCTCTCTGAGTTCTTTACTTGTGCATGTAATTGCAAGACCTCTCAGGTTCAGAAAACAACAATAATGGGATTAATTTAAGAAACAAGGAAAAACAAAGAGGTCAATGGCTATTTACCTCACCCGAAGCAGTGTCCAGTGTTTTAAAGTCCTAAACACAAAGGCTCCCAAGATGGGTCTTCCTGCCACTGAAGTGGAGCTCCTTCCTACTTTCCTTCTTTTATTTTTTGGTGGAAAATATTTAAGAAGTGTTAGTGTCCTTAGTTTTATAATAGTACTGTTTTTTCAAATTTAGAATAAAAGCTTAATAGATTACTTTAGTTGTTAATTTGGATCCAGGGAAAATTTTCAGAATAGCTATTCACTGTTTAAGGACAATCCATTTATTATAGATTATATTGTAATGAACAATCAAATAAAAATGACTTGATTTATGCATCATTTTAATGTTAAAAAACAAAAAAATCCACAAAATATCACATCAGTTTTCTTTATTTTAAGGTATATGATAAGCAATTATTTAAATGATGTACGCTATCCCAATTATTTAAATATTTCTTAAGGATAATTTGTAGCAAAGTGAAACTAAGTCTCTTCTAATTCCCCACTGTCTTGTATTTACTTCAAGTGCTACCCCAGTCCTTCTTATCCAATGTAATGACTAATATAGATCTAAGTACAATTATTTAGACTATACTGGACTGTTTTCCTTTTTTCCTAAGTGGTACTGTTTTTAGACTGATACATTTCATTCTCCATTGTTATGTTTTATCACTCAGAAATGTTAATTTTTTTAAAAGATTTATTTATTTATTTATACAAGCACTGGGTACAGTCAGAAGTGCGGGAGGGTGAGAGAATTCACCGGAGCCAGAGCGGGGAACAGAACAGGCAGACTTACGAAGTACACTGCTGAGGGGAGCAGCGGGCAGCAGGAGAGGTCTGCGCGCCATGTGGGACCCTTGCCGGCGGCCGGGGATCGAACCGGAGCTTCAGAGGCTGCCGACAGCTTCGCAACCCAGAGCTCAACCGCTGCACCACCAGGGGAGGCCCCAGAAATGTTAATTTAAAAAAAAATTTCAGTGATAAAAACTGAAGAAGCTTATAAGAAATAATCCATATGTGACAGGTAATTCTTATTTGTGTGTCTACTTCACAGTTAATGCTACTGAGACTAGAGCCCTACTCTTGGGGCTCTGATGCCTGGCCCCAGAAGCTGCTTGCAAGCAGTGCATTTTACTGTGCATTTTACTGTGTGTCACCAGCGGCCCCACCAGGGCTCAGGCAGCAGGCAGAAGTTGGGAGTGATGGTGACAACAGTAGTTTTTCTACCACACTGCACCAGGACAGGCAGCCCCTGCTTCAGGACTGCAAGGAGGACCAATGGGCCAGTTCCAGTGCTATGGCTCCCACTAGCAGCAGGCAGTAAAGAGGCCGTTGGATTTGGTGCCGAGATCGTCCAATGGACAGATCAGGTGCAAACTATGAGCTGATTGGTAAATGGTCCAGGCACAGGGTAATCCAGGGCTTAAGCCAAAGGCGCCCCCAGGAGGGGGTTGCTGGTGAGGATGAAGAGACCCAGGGGAAGCATCTGTGAGGGTGGAGGAAGGAGGGAGGGAACAGAGCAAGGAGGGAGTGATGAAGGAAGGAAGAAAGTTACAGTGATTATAATTTGAGAGAATTTTGAGTTTTGATGCACTGGGTCCCTAATAATGGAATTTCTATTATTTACAGGAAAAGGAAAGGTAAGAATTTTCAAAGTGAAGAGTATGAATTTATCATTTTTTAGGTGCTAGTCACTGGAATATTGGAAAGCAAAAAAATGGAAAGCAAAGGAAAACTTCATTTTTGTAGCTCATACAATTGTTGGTAGAGAGAGACAGTTGTATCAATGACTGGAAAGGAGAGTCCATAACTAGACCCATATATGTGATTGATGTTTGATGAATTTGTCCAGACTATTCAATGAGAAAGGAAAGTCTAGTAAATGATGCTGGAAATACTAGATATTTACATGGGGGAAAAAATGAACATCAATCCTTACCTCAAAATATACAATAATTAACCTAAAATGTATAATATGTCTAAAGGTAAATGTATCAGGAAAAAAAAAAAGATTATCTTCTCAGTATCAAAGGAGCACAATTCTTAAATAGTAAAAAATGAGCACAAACATTTAAAAATTCATAAATTGAACATTGAAATTAAATATTTTGCTCTTTGAAAGACATAATTGAAATACAAAAATGAACTATAGGATGAGACAAAATAATCATAACATATATAGGATTTGCATGCAGAATATATAAAGAACATTTAAAATGTAAGATAAAATGTCCACTAGTGATAAAAATGAAATCACTTCACAATGAAAGATGTGCAAGTTACAAATACACCTAGAGAGAGATTCATAATATATTGTTATCAGGGAAAGCAAATTAAAACCAGTAAGAAATATCTCCAAACATCCATTTAAACAGCTAAATTTAAAAACAAAACTAAAAGTCTACCCAAAGGACACAAAAAAACACTAATTTAAAAGAAAACCTGGGCCTCCCTGGCCACGCAAGGGGTTAAGACACAACCTATGAAGCTAATCACAGCCACTGCAGTGTGAGTTCATCCCTGACCAGCCGGTGAGCTACCCACATGGCACAGCAGACCTCTCCTGGCTCGCCTGCTGCTCCCCTCAGCAGTGCATTTCAGTCAGTCTGCCTGTTCTGTTCCCCACTGTCTCCGGTGAATCCTCTCATGCCCCACACCTCTGGCTCTTCCCCAGTTCTTGCATGCATAAATAAACAAATCTTTAAAAAAAAAAATAAGGAAAACCTGTGCTCCTATCTTCATTGCAGCACTATTGACAATAGCCAAGCTACGGAAACAACCTAAATGCCTCAAAACAGATGAATGGAGGGCCTCCCCGGTGGCACAGTGGTTGAGTGCCAGGTTGTGAAGCTGCCAGCAGCTTCTGCAGCGCCGGTTCGATCCCCAGCTGCTCCCTGGCCACCGGAGGAGGGTCCTACATGGCGGGCAGACCTCTCCTGCCGCCTGCTGCTCCCCTCAGCAGTGTACTTCGGTCCTTCTGCCTGCTCTGCTCCCCGCTCTGGCTCTGGTGAATTCTCTCACCCTCCCGTGCTTCTGACTGTACCCAGTGCTTGTATAAATAAATAAATAAAAATAAATCTTAAAAAAAAAAATTCTAGTAAAAAAAAAAAAACAGATGAATGGATCAAGAAGATAAGGTTTATATAAGCAATGGAGTACTACTCAGTGATCAAAAAGATAAACTCATGCCTTTTGCAGCAACATGGATAGAGCTGGAAGGGATTATGCTCAGTGAGTTAAGTCAGAAAGAAAAAGGTAAATATCAGATATACACATGAGAAAAACCAATCAAAGGGTCAGAAAAAAAAAGACAAATCTCGAAAGCTGACCATAAACCTGAGGCATACAGCAGGGGAAGGGGAGGGAGAGATACCAAATAGGGGAGGCAAGAGCACAGGGGTTATGGTGATGGATCACAGGAGTAGGTGGGGGGGGGGAAATACAGGGAGCACCAACACCAGAGGGGGAAATCAAATAATGTCCAAATATTAACAAAGATATAAGAAAATAAATTTATTTTAAAAATTAACATAAAATAAAAACAAAACTGGCCATACTGAAGGCAAGGAGCAACGAAACTCACTCTACACGTAGGAATGCAAATATACTACCACTTTGGAAAACAGCCTGTTTCGTTAAGTTAAATAAATGCACATCTTTGTACAACCTAGCCACTGCATTCTTTGACTTTCACATAGCTTCTTGTCCACATAAAGCTCAGTCCGTGAATTTTCACAGCCTCTTTATTTGTACTAGCCCTGAGCTAAGAACAAAACAAATATTCAGGAACCTATGAACAGGTGAATAAAATGCGATTCTTCCATACATTGGAATATAATTCAAGAATCTAAAGAAAACCAATCACAAAAAAAGTACTACTACAGTGAATAAATTGCAAATTCATTAAACTTAGTTAAAGGAGTCTGAAAGTAAAATAAAATAAAATAAAATAAAATAAAATAAATGACCCCACAGAGACAAAGAGCAAATCAATAGTTGCCTGGGGATGAAGAGATGGCCAGGGCTTCTTGAACAGTATTCCTTCCTTTCGTCTTTCGACAAATATTTATTGAGTGCACTCGGCAGGATGCTAGGGCTACAGCAGTGGATAAGGGGATGCAGGTGGAGGAAGAAAGAAAAATCTCTATCTTCATGTAAATATAGTCTTGTGATGAGAAACTCATAACATAGTGAAGAAAAATAAAGCAAGAAACGGGGACAAAGAATTATCAGTGGTGAGAGGCTGGGATGCGATTTTCAATAGGGTGATAGGTTGAGTTATGGTAAACTCATCGTTTAGTAGATTGGCCATTTAAATAGCATAGTAATTTTAAATAAATACTCTCTCTTTGAAGGTAAAATTTAAGCAAAGATAAAAGAAAGCTAAAGAAGTCATTGGAAGTTGATATTATTTGGAAAAATGAGGGGTTCAGGAAAGGACAAACAGACACAGAAGTCCCCCAGGATGGGCAGCCCAGGTGTGTCCTGGAAACAGCCAGGACGGCAGCATCTTTTTTATAAATCCTTGTTTTTACTTGGTTAGCATTTATCCTTCCAGATCTTTGAATTCTAAGCTGTGGGAAGCTAATGATTTTAGGGATCCTCTATAACGGTCCCCGTTTTGTCTTCATTTCCCAAATATACTGAGAGAACCTGTGTTCTCTGGAAGAGATAGTGAAGAGAAAGGGATCCTGAAAGGTTTGGTCCATCCAGTGGTCTGTTTTAATCTACCCTCTTGACTTAGAGAACTCATGAAGAGTTGCTCTTGGAAAGCAGGGGAGAAGCAGCCCAGGAGATGGTGGCAAAGCAATCAAGATGGCAGTAAAGCACTTAGCACTCATAATCCAATATATTAATTAGTAGGACTCCAAATACCCACATTGCTCCTTCTGCTTCACTTTTTCATCAGAATGAATGCACCTGTGATGTAAATTTCTCTGGGGAATTGAATAGATTGAAGTCTTCTGCTTTTAACCATGTAGTTACTTTTTCAAAAATGATAAAGGGGAGTCTTTCAAAGACCTACAAAGGTGGTCGAAAACTATGAAACTGTGATCGCTTCACAAATCTGATTACTATCACAAAATGTTTCTATTACCTATAGTAAAGCCTTAGTCAAATTACAGTGTGTTGCCTTCCTAAACCATGATGCGAGTCACCAAATACCTAACAGAATAGTATTCCTCTCCACTTTTATAGCTTTCTCCACACATAGCAATCCATATTAGAAACACAAAATTTCTTGCTATAGAAACTAAACAATATCCAAACTTTACACTCAGTTTCATAAAAATGAATGCTGAATGGCCTTTTTTTTTTCCTGCTGAGATGGCATGGTATCACCATTTAAAAATTCTGTGTAAAGGCCTCCCTGGTGGCGCAAGGGGTTAAGCACCACACAATGAAACTGTCCGCAGCCTCTGCAGCACGAGTTTGATCCCCGGCTGGCCAGGGAGAAACCAGCAGACCTCTCCCGTCTCTCTTGCTGCTCCCCTCAGCAGTGTATTTCAGTCAGTGTGCCTGTTCTGTTCCCCGCTCTGTCTCTGGTGAATCCTCTCACCCCCCCCCCAACGTCTCTGGCTTGTACCCCAGCTCTTGTATGCATAAATAAATAAATCTTTAAAAAGAAACAAATAAAAATTCTGTGTAAACATGGAGGGAAAAGTCCCTAATGAGTTACCTTGAATTATTTAAGATAAACTCAGGATACAAAGACTGCCTATGTGAAACAGCACTGTTGCTAGTGGGGAGTAAACTAAAGAGGATGATATCAAGGTTTTCTTTACGTGCAGTGGGAGAGTTGTTTACCTTTAAAATTAAAAACTCTTCATTATCTTAGCAAAGGCTGTCTCAACAACATGGAAGGAGAGCAAGTCCGCAAATAGGGCAATATTTGCAAATGAGCATTTTAAAGGCTATTGTATGGTTGTGGTCTTGAGTTGGCTTTAAACTTTGGATCCTCTCACCCACTCCATCTCTGGCCTACACCTCAGCTTTTTTTTTTTTTTTAAAAGATTCATTTATTTATTTTATACAAGAACCGGGGTACAGGCCAGATGCGTGGGAGGGTGAGAGGATTCACCAGAGACAGAGCGGGGAACAGAACAGGCAGACTAATGTAATACACTGCTGAGGGGAGCAGTGGGCAAGATAGGAGAGGTCTGCTGAGCCATGTGGGACCCTTGCCGGGATCAAACCGGTGCTGCAGAGGCTGCGGACAGCTTCACAGAGCTGCGCTCAAGCGCCTGCACCACCAGGGGAGGCCCTACACCTCAGCTTTTATATGCATAAATAAAATAAATCTTTAAAAATAAACAAACTTTTGCCCCTTCATCTGCAAGTGGCTAAGGGAGATTCCCGCCACCTATCTCTTCATTTTGTTAGGGGGAAGAAATAAGTTATAATATATGGAGATACTCAATTACCATGGAATATTTGAACATGTTAATAAATACAACCTTCAAAAGTATTAGAAAATTTCCCTTGCAAATCCAAGTTATCAAACAATAACGGAGAAAATCTCTTGATTGAATCCAAATCACTTCTTTTGTCCTAGTTCCTAACAGAGACCATTGTTCATGTGATACAAATTCTGTGTTGATACCATTTCAATGTCCCTTGCTCACTATATACTCAATTTCAGTTCTGGAAGAAGGTTCTTTGAGTACAGGATGTAGTTGATAAAAATGCATTTTTATTGGAAAAGTATACAGAAACAATCACTAAATACAGTTTTCAACCATAGTATTCAAACCCAAACACCACAAAATTGCTGAATGCTATAATTTCTGAAGCCACTAGAACTTTGGTACAACAAAATAGTGACCTAACAGAGTTTGTCAGGTATCACAGTCTATTCAGGGGCATATAGAATAGAAACTCCATGTTTAAAGTGTTAAGTTACATTTCATAGCACTAGACAAAACAGAGATCTGTGTAGATGACAGAAAAAACAAACGTGCTTAGCCTAGAAACAAGGATAATATCTCTTAACAGTAGACTGCCGGGATACAATGAAGGACTTAAGTGTTATGTCAGAATACTGCCTACCTTTGACATATAAAACAGGATAACATACTTTTCTTAAATAATTCCAGATACACTCAGAATCTTTTACAAGGCTGTGGGTACAAGCCCTATTTGTACAAAGAGAATTTTGACCAAGTTGTAATATACTAACATGTAATTAGATTCCTCAAAAGAAACACCAGGTGACACACAAAATGAAATAGAACTCAGTTTTTTCCAGTAACTTGAAATATATTAAACATTTTCAATCAAACACAATGACCTCAAGTTGACTAACCTTTAGAGCTTCAAATACCTCTACTAAAATGAGTGCCTTCTCCCTGCTAGAATATTCTACTCAAAAATGCTTTAAATTAGGACAGTGATTTTTATTACTTCTTAGCTTATGATGGTAGTGTGTCTGATTATGAAATGGAATATATTGTTGACAAACCAGTTTCTTACTGGGCATGTTCTTTGAGCCTGGCTGACCTCGTGAGGTGTGTTATTAACGGTGATGTTTTTCAGGAGGTTTATGAGCTTCCTGGGAGAAGCCACAAATTTAATGATACACACAAATTGCTCTTTCTACAGTTCTAGGCTTCTTCTCAAAAGACATTTGAAAAATTAACCTAGAGAATGGAAGAGTACGGATAAGCATATATTATTACTTTGCAAGGACAGACACTATTTTCATGTGCCAACAGACATAACAGACACTGGTTAAATAAGGGATCCATTAGGTTAAGGATAGACATTCTGGCTCCCACTGAATTTGCTAATGATCCTATAAGATTGTCAGCTGAGGGATATTAGCCATGACTTTCATGACCTGTTAGAAGGAAAAGAAACTGGGAACAAATGTAAAGGACTCTATTCAAAGATGATTCTTTTGTATATTCTCCCCCAAAAAGATGACACACTTTTAAATAATACTTTTGGTACTGTTTTGTGGTTTGTTGTTCTTTTTATATGTGAAGTCAGAAAATAATCTCAACCATATACTGTTGATAAAAAGAACTCTGCAGAAAAATCTTAGAGATGTCACTCTTTGAAAAATTAATCAAAGAGCAATTTATAAGAAAATTTAATTAAATGGAATAAACAAAAAGTTCCAAGCTTCTTAAATGTTGATGGCAATAATGAAATATTTGGTGACTAAATATTTTTATTAGCTTAGTTGTAAGGGCAGAAACCTTTACCTCATAAATAAATATTTATATGAATTTAGTTAGAAAAATTTTTTCTGTTACTAATTCTTTTTTTTTTAGTTTCATACCTAAGATTTTACCTTTTCCATATTCTGGAGGACATTTAAGAACTCTATTTAGCCAAATTTTAACTCATTTTTCTTTGTAAACTTGGCTCTGCAATGTCTTCATGGTTGAGTTTCCACCCAAAATGCCAGGGTAGTAAGGTTATAAAATTCCCTATTTAACTAACAATGATTTTTATCAGATTTGATTTCTGAAATTTTATACCTTCATGGATTTATGAAGCTTTGACACTCATTTATAACACTCATCTCAGGTAATACTTTATATGTTTTCCATATTTAAGAACTCAGCAGTATCCCCAGAAATAAGTCTAGATCAACTCAGACAAAGAATAAGAAAAATATAACTCATGGTGAATTTTTAGACAACCTTTTCAAAAGAGACAGCATCTTAGCATTTCCCCAGTTCATACTACCAGTACAGTTTGGCAAAGAATAACTTGTACTAGAAGCCAAACAAAGAGACCCCTGATACACAGAATGGCCCATCTGGGTTAAAAAAAAATAAATAAAATACTTACTTTAGAAAATGCTGGTTTTAAATTTTTTTGCTTATAATATGGAATTGATAGCAAGTTGGCTAGATTGCTGACTTGCAAGGATTTTAGAATCCTTATCTAGAGACCCATAGCTCAATTCCCAGAATTTAGCATTTTCTCTGCCAGTTCATGACTTGCTACCCTCTTGATACGAAGATAAACATTGTGATATATTTTTAAAGATTTTTTTCTTATACTTTCTAGATTAAAAGGTCACCTTGTACCTAATCACAGTTAAATGTCTCAAATAATGCCCATTCTACAAAAAGTGAGTTAGGAGACGAGGAAATGATAGTAGCAATCTCCAGTTTCTGCTAACAATCTTGCACACGGTACTAGAGATATCAGAGGACCTTTAGGTGTGAGACTTTCCTGCAACATGATATTCTGGGAAGTGAGCTATGTGTTTGGTGATCAATTTGGTCATAGAAGTATCTGAGGCACCATGATAGAGCAATGTAAACATCAAACCGGTGTAAACACTCCAGATATGGTTTCACTCTCAAAAAGGAATTTCATATATATTTTAAATATTTCTGCAAAATACAACAGTGTTTACTAAAGCATTTGGGAGGTTGTGATTACAGGACACATCTTAGTTAAAAATGTGCTATTGTAGTTTACAGGGGAGTCTTCAATTCTTTATAAGAATCCATATACTTCATGGTTCTATATCAATTTGAAATGGTAAAGCGAATTACACAGAAAAATTAATTCTGAAAAAGAAGAGAAGGAATGTTAGGTGATGGCTACATATAATTTGGGCCAAAGGCCAAGCTTGAGCACGAAAATGTTTTTTAAATTAAATATTTATTACTAAGTAGAATTTCTTTTTCTAGAGATATCACTTGTACTGGGAAAGCTACAAAGGGAAAAATGTTAATAAGAAACAATAGAATCCTGTTTTAAATTTCTTGTCTGTTTTAAACTTTATTCCTCTTGAGACCACTGCCCAACAATTGTTATTTTTATAGGCATTTTCTGTAGTTGTGGGCATCAGTATTCTCTGTTTCATGCTACATGATCAAATGACAATCTTAACGTAGGCCCTGAATAAATGCTTGTTAGATTACTCACACTGACAGAATCTTGGCATCAATTAATCAATCATATAACTGGAAAATTAATAGAAACAAAAACATGTATCCAAAATAGAATACCTTTGGGTTTTACAAAGGCCAGCATTCCTGACTATGGAAATGCAGGGAACATGACACTGAATCCAAAGAAGAAACTGATGTTATAAGTTACCAACGTTCACCAGATTTGGCCACAGCAACAGCCATCTTATTTCTGCATGCTTTTCTACTAGAACAAACATCTTTAATCTTAGGTAATCACATTGTGTCCCCATGGCCCACGCATGGAGATCAGGAAGAACTACAAGGAGAAAACATCATTGAAGGGAACAATCAACCTAGATCCAGTCCAGGTGTTGGTGTTGCGCCAGGGACACAGGAGCTCGGCACTTACCACTGAAAGTCCTACCAGGACTTAACCCCATCCGAGCTTCCAAATTGCTTTGATTCATGGTACATTTCTGAGTCTAGTCCATTCAGAACATTATATACAGAGAATTCCTAGAATCTGTATTCCTAAAATTGATTCAATGCCAGATGGAAAGTTGCAGGGGAGTTTAAAGAGGTTTCAGGCATTGAGGGTTTCCAATGTTTGTAAAAAAAAAAAAAAAGTTCAGAGCATGAAAAAGTAAAACACAGTTGGCAAAATTTTGTAGGAAGACCTATCCTGTTGAAAATCATATACTCAACAAAAACAGGAAACTTGACAGACAATGTCTTTGCTATTGATAAAGTTGACTGAAATATTTAAATGATAGTTTAATAGAAGTAGCTTCTTTTAATCAGAAATTAAGGTAAAAAAACTAATGTGATATAACTTTAGACAATAAGAAGAGGCCAATGTAAAAGACTTTTGTGATCATTTTTTAGAAAGAAAAGGCAACTTTATGTAAAAAAATAAAATGACTAAATTTTTGGTGTGATACAATATATAGATCTATTTCTGCCCAAATCCCAAATATAATCCATGAGTATTTTACTTCAGGCAAAATAAAAATGAATTGCTAAATATATTGTAATATAGCATGTCATCCATTTTTATGTAATTAATGACATGACAATCCAGAGTGATCATAAAATTGATCCATCATTATTCTAAAGTTGTTGATCTACAAAGTGACACATCTGTATTTTTGCAATAGATTCAAAGACATGGTAAGTTGGGTTGGAGGGGAGAAATATGATATTGAGTGTCCAGTGCTTGTGTGAATGAAAAGAACCCTAAATTCATAGTGACTTTTTGTGTGAAATCACCAACATATTTTTCTAAAAAAAAAAATTTAAGGCTGAACAATTTTTCTTGACTGCACTTAAAAAGAGATATTTAATAATCTTTAATATTTCCTTGTGACTATTACCTTTACTAAGACTAAAATGAAATATGAACCTGAACACATTTCTAGATGTTGTTCGAAATGGAAACTGCTGGAGATCCTCTTCATCCCAACTGATGTCAACTTTTCATTGCCTTGAGTGAAATTTGACTAAGTAACTCTTCTAGACAACAGTAACAGATATATTTAATTTTAGTTCTTCAAATACCATATTCCTATGCTTTTATTTTTTGCCAGGGCATTTCTCTGGCATTTTGTCATTCACAGTGCTACCTGCCATTTAATAGGAATATAAAATGGCATTATTACACAATCTCCTACATTTCAGCAGAAGTCTGACATTCACTCTTTCATAAACTTCCATAATATTTAGTCATTCAAGTACAGCTTATCGGATGTATATAGTAATGTCATTCTTAATAAGCCATTAAGAATTCTTTACTGGACATCCATTTTTGGCTAATATATTCTTCCCCTCCCCAAAGCAAACCCAAAAGTACAGGTCAGAATCTATATAACAAGTATATCAAATTTTTTTTTTTTAACTCTTCCATGGTCTCCCTTTAGAAGCCTATTTCATTTCCCAATGTGACACAGGAATTTTTGCTCTGATTTAAAACTCCCTGAAATTTCTTCTTGTAGACCCTTTTATATACTCATTTTCTTTCTAAGAAAAACAAATTGGGTGTCCGTGATGGGGAGATCACATTAGGAAATCTTTGATCTTGTTTGAAGGGACCTCACAGATAAGTGGTCATTCTTTTGAACACTTAATTATTCTTTTTGCTTAAAAGAGAATTTTCTGGCAGAAAAAGACAGACATGTCATTATATATGGTATACTCAACAACAAATCTGTGGTTCGTTGCTGTTTGGGGCAGTGTTATTTGGGTGGGTGGTTGATCACCACCTTCTAAGTAAAACCTAGCAAGCACACTTCTTCTCAGCTGGCTTTTCTCCATCCAGCTTTCCAGAATTTCCTCCATTGACAGCGTCGGGGACTTGTGTCTTCTCTACACACTGTTCCATTCGCTTCATTATTAAGTCCAGAAGGGTTTCCACAGCTTTCTCTACATTCTGGCCAGTGGCTGCACTTGTTTCAAAATATGGAATGCTAGCACAGAAGATGTGACAAACGTTATTAAGAGGAAGAAATCAGGAAAAGATACAAGATGTACAAATGAGTCACACATACAAAACTTGACTGCTGACAGATGCTCATGATGTTGTTGGCTGAGCTGGAAAGCACCCTTGTTTTTTCTCATGTGTAAAAATTGGGAGGATTGCTCTTTCCTATTTGTGCTGAGACCCTTTTTAGTTTTATAGGGAAGGAAACTGATACAGGAGGTCTTCAAGAAATTGAAGCCAAGGGATTGTCATTCTGAATTTTGAGAGTAAAAATGCTTAAATGAACAATCAATATTCCATTAAATTATTCCATCCCTTCTAATCGATCATCTAAAAATCTGATTTACAAACTCAGCAAGCACTGAATAGGATATTCATGTAAGCACAGTCTATTACTTGGAATCAAAATTTCCAAGAGAAAAATGTGTTTTTAAAGATCTCAGAATTCTTTAATAAACATATGGCAGATATTCTGATGCCTCTTTAAATTTTAAAAATGACAAATTTTACTGTGGAAGGCAATTTTGCAATTGCACAGGGTGTTTAAAAATTTTCTTAATCTGCATTTAAATTGAACCGGGACAAAAGTGACAAAAGCATGCTCATGCCACGTAGTATTCCTTAGAGTTTTATTGTATTGAGTCAGAAGAATATAGTGTAGAAGAGCATGAACTCAGAATCTGTCTGACTAGGTTGAAGTCAAGATCTGATATTTATTAGCTATGTGACTTCTCATCAGTTACTTGACTTTTCTGTGCCCCAATCCCTCATATATAAAATGGGATAACTATACACCTCTTATGTATGGTTATGAGAGGTTAAATGAGTTAAAATATAGAACAGTTGCTTGTACATTTTAAGTTATTTAATAAATGTTAGCTACTATTATGATTATGAGCTTTCTTAAAGACATCACACACATTCCTTTGGGAGCTGGATTTCAATCACACACTGTTGTTGATTCAAGGGAATCCACATGTCAACTTCGTGTCCCTGCTCCATCACTATGTGGCAGGACACAAAGTCAGAGGGCAGTACCAGGTAACTGACTTACCCGTATTTGTCAGCCAGTTCTCGGGCATGCCTTTCATTGACTTCCCTCTGGTCTGGCAGGTCTGCCTTGTTGCCAATTAATACGATATCTGGATTTTCACAATAAGCATTTGCTTGCAATTGGCCTTGGAAAGAAAGCAGATGGAATCAGCAAGTTAGTTATAAACAAGTGATGTCAAATGACTGCTCATACTTCAGATTCCTTATCTAACTGTTCACCTCCAGTTTGGCAGTTAGTTCGTTATATTTGCCAATTTACTTAACTCTTCTGAGCCACAGTTTCCTCATCCATAAAGTGGAGACAGGGCCTCACAAAATGCAGATTATGAAGGCTAATCATAAATTATAGGAAGCACCCTCATAAACCCCTATGCATGCTCTTCCACCGCTAGAGAAATACCTTCTGAGATGGACCTACTTTTTCATATCATTTGTTTCTCAAATATAAGTGGAGATAATAGAAGATGAGTTAAAGCATGTAAGTCTGTTCTTTCCTCTAGGAGGTTGCTGTGTTTCTATCTCCTGAAATTCAGTGCATAATATTTTTTATTTATTTTATTTAATTAATTAATTTTTTAAATTTTATTTTTATATTCCCCATACAATTGCGACCCCCTTATTTTGACCCCAATCCCTCCTTTTCCCGCCCCCAACCCCCATAGAGTGTCTCTGGTTCATAGTTGTTTGTTGATTTTGATATTTTCTTTCTTATAGTTATTCTTTTTCCTGGTCCCTTATTTAAGTTTTCTAGATTCCTGCTATGAGTGAGACCATCTGGTATTTTTCTTTTTCTTTCTGGCTTATTTTGCTGAGCATGATCCCTTCCAGCTCCATCCATGTTGCTACAAATTGCATGTGTTTATCTTTTTTGAATGCTGAGTAATATTCCATGGTGTATATGGACCACATCTTCTTGATCCAGTCATCTATTTTTGGGCATTTGGGTTGTTTCCAAAGCTTAGCTATTGTAAATAGTGCTTGCTATAAACAGGGGTGCAGGTGCTCTTTGGAATTGATGTTTCTGTGTCCAAATGGCCATCCTACCAAAAGCAATATACAGATTCAATGCTATTCCAATAAAAATTTCAATGTCATTTTTCAAAGAAATAGAACAAGTACTGATGAAATTTATATGGAATCACCAAATACCCCCAATAGCCAAAGCTCTCCTGAAAAAAAAAAAGAAGGGAATGGAGGCATCACAGTCCCAGACTTCAAATTATACTACAAAGCCATAATCATCAAAACTGCATGGTATTGGAACAAGAACAGACACACAGGTCAATGGAATCGAATAGAAAATCCAGAAATAAACCCACAGATATACGGTCAACTAATCTTTGACAAAGGAGCAAAGAATATGCAATGGAGCAAAGAAAGTTTGTTCAATAAATGGTGCTGGGAAAACTGGGTCGCTACATGCAAAAGAATGAAGCTTGACTACTACCTAACACCATGCACAAAACCAACTCAAAATGGATTAAAGAACTAGACATAAGTCATGAAACCATAAAATACATAGAAGGAAATACAGGCGAAACACTACGTGATTTGCACATCAAAGACATCTTTACAGGCACATCACCCAAAGCAGTGATAGTGAAGGCAAAGATAAACAGCTGGGACTACATCAAATTAAAGAGCTTCTGCACAGCAAAAGAGACAATAACAAAAACAAAGAGAAACCCCACCAACTGGGAGAACATTTTTGCACACAACACTAATGATAAAGGACACATAATATTTTTAAATCATGACAATTTTATGTATCTATATGAATCCAATTTCATGTAAAAACAATTTTGAGATACATAACTTATTATTTTTCCCCTTCTCTTGAAAACACCTGTCAAAAGACAGAGATGAAAGAGGGAGACAGGAAGAGAGGGAAGGAGGGGGGGAGGGAGAAAGCGGCAGGAAACCTTCAGCTGTGTTTTCAAGGTCACCAGGGCTACATTAACATCTATGTCAGTTATACCATGTGCAATCTTGCTGAGGCTGGAGGAAGGAGACAAAGGATTATCCTATTGTTATAGGATATATTTATATTTGGATGTTAGAAATTAAAGTCTTATTAGACATGGAAATTAATTAACTTAAATCCCAACAGAATTCTTCTGTTAATTTTTAAAATCATTTGCCTTTATAAAAGGATGAACAAATCATTCTCTGAAGGAATCTAATAATCTTATTATCTCCTTATCTCCTCAGAATCTAATAATACCACCAAAATTTGGATAAAGAAATGTAATAATAAAAGAAAATAGAGACAGATCCTAGGATAAACATTCATTTGGAGAAGCTATTAAGGAAGTCAGAATTTGTTGATATTTTCCCCAGTGGTAACAACCGTATCATTGAGTTCATATTTAAAGCAGTTTTATATAGATATACACACACGTATATAATTACATATTATATATCATTATAAATATATGTAATAATATGTAATTATGCATCATATATAATTTATGTGTGTAATGTATAATTATAAACATAATTATAAATGATATGTAATAATAAGAAATATATATATTTTGAGCATTTGCTCTGAGTTAGTCACCCATCCAGGCTCTAGGCAACTGCAGTGGGACAAAGCAAAGTTTGCACTTCCACAGAACTTACATTCTAGTGGTGGGAAGAGTCAAAATCACAAGTAAGCGAAGAAATAATTAATGCTTCAGGTAGAGGCATGGCCAGATGAAATGTGCTGAGGGGATGCAGAGTCACAACAAGCCCTGCTTTAGGTGGGGTGGTGATGCCAACTTTCCTGAGAGATAAGTCAGATTTGAGCAAAAACTGGAGATGAAAGAACTAGCATGTGCTGTTAAATAGGAGAAGAGAAATGAAGGCAGAGGGAATCAGAGATGTGAAGTTCCCAGGGTAAGAATGTAGTTTCCCTCCTGTGAACAGCATGAGTGATGAGAGAGGTTCAGTTGGAGGCCAGTGATGGGGCAGAGAGAATCAGAAAAGCCCCCAGGCCAGATCACAGCAGCCTAGAAGGTGGGTGAAGGACTCTAGGCTTTATTCCAAGTGAGATGGTTACTCCTAGCAGGACTGTGAGCAGACAAACAAGATGATCCCATTTAAAAGAAATTACTCTGACCACAGACAGCCGCAACAAGCCTAGAAATGACAAAATTAGCACCAACCTCTTAGAGGGCTAATATGTCCCTATTAGGATCAAAATGTGTATTTGTAAGAAAAATGCAAATAAAAAATTCTCTTTAATGCTACATCAATTTTTTAAAAAGGAAAAATCAAATACTTCTATGACAACATATACTAAATTGACTTTAATAAGTGATTAGACTGTGTTTAAACTTTATGTTTAAATTGTCATAGAGGCTGAAAATGTTTCCATTAAAAAGACTCCTTATAGGGCCTTCCTGGGTGGCGCAGTGGTTGAGCGCTGGGCTGAAAAGATGCCCGCAGCCTCTGTAGCACCGGTTCGATCCCCCGCCGCCGGCGAGGGACCCACATGGAACGACAGACCTCTCCTGCCTCGCCCACTGCTCCCCTCAGCAGTGTACTTCGGTCCTTCTGCCTGTCCTGCTCCCTACTCTGGCTCTGGTGAATTCTCTCACCCTCCCGTGCTTCTGACTATACCCAGTGCTTGTATAAATAAATAAATAAATAAATAAATAAATAAATAAATAAATAAATAAATAAATGAATCTTTTTTTAAAAAAAAAAAAAGACTCCTTGTATTTAAACAGATTTTTAAAAGTAAAAATTCAATATGCTCCGACTGGCATTATACTTTATCTTCATGTGCCTGGTCTGCTCTGAAGCATTTTCTCACCTAATTCATCCATTAGATAAAATTAACCCATTAGTTAACCCACATGCAAGGGCACACATTTTAGTTACCAGTGTATCCTCTCAGAAAGCATGGCATTTTTTTCTGTGTCTTTTTCAGATTAAATTTAGTAGATGTGCTCAGTTTTGAAAAGTCATACAAGACTTACTGCACAAGTGGAATTAATGGCCTTTCCATGGCAATAATAAAGACCTGTAATTCAGGTGATGATGAATTAACATAGGCTTCTTGTAAGAGTCTCTGAGAAGACACATTTTCAAGCCATCATCAGTGATCCATACAAAGGCCACCACTTTGAAGGTGACACAGGAAACACAAAACTCATGACTTCCCAAGGTGAGTCTGTGGTGCTCAATCTGGTTTCATCTTGCAACAGCACATAGAGCTGTTGGGTTTTAAAGCTGTCAACACAATTACTTGTTCCCACTTACTCATCCAGTTTCTGACATTTAAGAAGCTCTGTTGACTGGTGAGGTCAAACATTAGTAAGAAACCCATGGCGTCTCTGAAAAATGCAGTGGTGAGGCTCCGGAACCTGCCAAGAAAGCACAGTAGACATTCCTGAAAGTTACTCACTATACACATGACAATGACAACACAAACATGACCTCCCTTTTTTTAAAAAGATTTATTTATGCATCCAAGAACTGGGGTGCTGGCCAAAGGTCCGGGGGGTGAGAGGACTCACCAGAGACAGAATGGGGAGCAGAACAGGCAGATCTATTGAAATCACTGCTGAGGGGAGCAGCGGGCAAACCAGGAGAGGTCTGCTGTGCCATGTGGGTAGCTGGCACCCACATGGCTGGCTGGCCCAGGATCAAACTTGTGTTGCAGAGGCTGCAGGTAGATTCATAGTGCTGTGCTTAACCCCTTGTGCCACCAGAGAGGCCCACGACCTCCCTTTCAAACATGAAATCCTACAGCATCCCTTGAGGACTGTTTCATGGAATGGGAGGGTGGACAGAGTCTGCTGAGGGGTCATGGGGGGACATGTGGTTGTAGACTTTTTTAAACCACATCCTGGCTTCATGTGCTATAGCAGTTACACAGGAGTTTATAATTCAATCACACATTTGCTTACACAGACTCTTGCTAGTTCACAGGCATCTTGTGGCCCACAATAAAAATGTAAGCCACTTTAGAATGCGGACCTTAACTTATATTTTTTAATTTTCCTTGTCTGTGCCCAGAAGAAAGCTTGGCACATGTGGTCTGAAAATGAATGCTTGTGATTACAGGCAGAAAACCACAATTTGTTGGCAGCTGGAATTAGGAAAAACAATGTTGGTGAGAAAACTCTTAAGTAATCACTTTTTGAGGAGGAAAACTGAGCTTTAGGTTGTCATCCATGTCTCAGGGGGAAGAAGAATGACAGTGAAGAAAGGAAGATGATTAAAGGAACAGAGAAGGTCAGAGAGAATTAGTAGTTGAGGAGAAAAAGCAAGAACGCTCATCTCCTGTGGATGACTTTGAATAATATACTCTGTCCTGTGTGATGTGAAGACTTTATCTCCCTTGTTCCTACCCTTCCACCCTAACATTTTCTTTGAGTCGAAGATGTGCTCAGATCCATATCAGTGTCAGCAATCAGTGAAACCAGAGACCACATCCAGGGACTAGAGAAGGTTTGGGTTATAAAGATAAAGCAGCAAATTCAGTAAGGGTTTTTTGAAAAGCATATAACTTTGAAATGCAATGAATTCACTTACTATCCTAAAAGTTCTTCTAATTTTCCCACTTTAGCTTATTTATAAATCCTTTGGTTTCCTTCGGGTTCTATTCTGCACTCCATATCACTCTATATGCATTCACTGGACAAGACCATCCACTTCTCTGGCTCAATTATCACCTATATGTTAAGAAACTCAAATGTATAAGTCTAGACCCTTCCTGTCTTCACACTCTGTGGACAATCACTCTGTAGACAATTACTCATTGAATATTTCCACTTGGAGGAAATGAGGGCAGTTCTAACTTTACATGTCCCAAATCAAACTAACCCTGGTTTCTTCTTCTGACAATGGAATCTCTATCTTCTTGGAAGCATAATCTTCTTCTCCTTCACCCACTGTAAACAACATATACCTCTTGACCTTCTCTCTGCTGCCCATCAACCCTGTCACGACTCTAGTTTGAACCCATTATGTTTTCTTGGATACCTTCGAAAGCCTTCTCAATGGACTTCCTGTTCCAGCTTTGTTTGGGACCTGCCCCCAAATGGCTTTCCACTGATTATAGAAATCCTCTATGAAAAACATTTCAATGATGATGCATTGCTCTCAAGATAATGACTCTTTAATAAGCTGACAAGGTACTGCATTAACAGGCCCTGGCTAATATGTCCAGCTTCAGCTCTTGACTACCTACCAACATGCTCTTCTTCTTTTAGTTCTTAGAAAGTTCACTCTCCCCCCCTGGGTTTTCACACATGCTGCTTTTTCAGTGGGCAACTTCACCTTAATGCCACCCATTCAGCCTGTGTAACACATGTTCATACATTGTGAATGAGGGTGCATTTGTGATATTAGAGGAATATCAGCGCCCCAAGAACTTTCCAATGCCCACATCTGGGTTCCAGGCTCCTCTGGGAGTATTTGCTGCTGGCCCTTTGCTTTCCTGTTACTCTTTGAAATCTATATTGCATTTCATTGTTATTAGTCCAGATATCCACCCTAGTTTTGTAAGCTCCAAGAGGAAAGGAGCTATCTTTCTAATTTGCTATCCATTATATTTTCATGGCCCTGAACATCATATTTGCCTACTAAGTGTCAAGTTGAGGGGAAGTAATAAAGAGATTAGCAAAGGATATAAAATCATTAAAGATTTAAATGAATTCAGTAGAGAACAATACTTATGGTATCGCGGGAGAGAAAAGAGATATATTAATGACTGTTTCTGAATCAGGATTTTTGATAAGCATCATTATTATGATTATGAACTACGAACAACCTACTCAAAAATTTCTTGTGGATTTGTCTCTAGAAGTTGATGGAAGTTTACAGATATTATAGTGTTTTTATTGAATGGCTCTCTCTCTCTTAGCAGTAATTAAAATTATCTCCTGCTCAGAGTAGGCTGCTCTCTGTCCTCCCACAAAGGATATGTATGTGTGTGTGTGTGCATGTGTCTCATCTGAGGATAAGATTGTGTCTTAGCCTCCTCTCATTGCCTACAACACATGAAAAAGTTAATTAAAAGTTTGCTTGTTGTATGGCTGTCATTGGGGCAAAAGCATTTGCATCCACAGTGACATGGATATGCCATGCTTGACTGGACCAGGCTCATCCCCTGAAGCATTCTACCAAGACCCTTGTCCACACCACTCTTCCAAGGGTTTTCTCAGGGAGGAAGGTAATTCGTCTCCAGATTCACCCACAAATCTCCTTCTGGCTGATGATTTGGCAGGGTGGGGAAAACAAGAACCACATTAAAAAAAAAAAAAAAAGACTTCAAGGTCATGTTATCATTCTTTCTCCCTCTTTGAAAACTGAGACAATACCCTGTATCTTTTAGGTTTACACAAGGGTGGTGGTTTTTCCCTCCTTCCCACAGTGCCACCTTTTTCAATAACCATTATCTTATACGAGTCATACTGTCAGATAGCTCAGGCACAGGGTGAGGTGTGAGGCGCTGTGTGCCTTGTTGCCTAGCTACACCTTTCCTATAGAAAATGTAAAATTCCCAAGGGATGAACAACCTCCGTGTCACTAGGACTGTCCCTGGTCTTCCCCGATTCCCTCTGAGAGCAGCTATGTTAAGGTGACAGATGAGAGAAGCCTGCCATCCTGCTAGGCTGACATCTCATGTGCGAGGACATATGGGAATCACATTTTCCCATATTACTTCAAAAATGAATTAAATTGGTCTATAAAACATACATCTTTGTGACAACAAAACTGACATCTGAACAGAGATTCTTGTGAGGAATGACTTCAAAGGAACCAGCAGTGTTGAGGGATGTGTGCAAATGGAATTCACAGTCAAAAAGAGCTAACAGAGGGCCCAGCACCTCTCCTGGCGTTTACACTCACTGAAAGCGAGAACATTTTGGATGCATTTCAAAAACTGAAGTGTTTACAAGCATAAACATGCTTCTAAGACATGCAGTGCAGAATTTGGAGGTATGTGCCTTCTAAATATCTTCTCTGCCAATGTATTGCCAATTTTTATTGAATCTAATATGGAAAAGTTCACTAGCCTGGGGTCTCTAGGACTTGAAAACCTTGGATCACAAAGAAATCTACTTTCATCAGACAATGGGGTAGCACCTTGAGCTTTAAGCCATCCGTACCTCTGTCTCCTGAGAAACTCTTATCTTGGAACACTGTATCACAGACTATGCTGAAAAACCAGGCAAGATCTCTGCCCTTACAAAGCTGATAATTTTTGGGGGTTGACGACACTGTGTGAATCAATTAACAGCAGTTGGAGACAAAAATAAAAGGTCAAGGTGATAGCTAATAATGCAAAGACTGAAGGGGTGATGGAATAGGTGCGACGGTGGAGTTTGTTTCACTGGTGGTATTTAGCAAGGCCACACAGAGGAGGTGAAATAGAAGCCAGATGTGGTGAAAGGAGAGGATCCGGGAGGCAGGGAAGAGACTAGACATTCTGATTGGAGGGTGATGTTGGGACCAAAATCTTAGGAAAAAAAGTCAGTCAATTGGCATGGGGCAGATGAATGAACGGATGGAAAGAGATGAAGGAGTCAACAGCCTTTCTATCAATTCTCTAGTTAAGTAGCACTTACAACATTGTTAATTTCCCACCTTGATTTGATTAAATCCTGGAGATTTTTTTTCCCTGTTAGAAAGTACAAAGATTATGCATAATGAGGATCTTCACAGAGAATTTTGAGAGTCTGATTTTTTAAATAGGCACCAGATAGGTCAAGCTAGTGAAGGTGAATTAACTATTAAAAAAACTTATTTTTATTTCTCAATACAAATGTCTACTTGGATACCAGGAGAAGAATTGCAGATAGCGTGATTTTCTAGTTCATATACAATATTCACTTTAAAGTAAGTCTTTCTTGTTTTCATTATTGCTTTATTTATAAATTTATCAGTAACTGATTTATTATCAATGATTCCTGACATCTTTCCATCTTATGTAACAGTAAATAAATCTAACTATGAGAGATGTAGTTTTTAATATCAATACCTATAGGATTTTTGTTTTTATTTACTTTTATTTGAGGCAACATTGGTTTACCACACTATATATGATTTACATGAATAGGTTCCCCTAAAATAAGTTTTCCTAAACTATTTGTAACTAGAAACAAAGTCATTGGCTCTTACCGCTCTTGTCCTGCAGTGTCCCAAAGCTGAAGATGTACTTTAAATGCTTTCCCTGAAGTTCCATTGGGTCCCTGTGTATTATAAACCTGAAATAAACAATTTTCATCAGTAGATACTGCTTTGGATTTTGTCAACGTTCAAATTCTCTGGGTTTACTCAGCATGTTTTTTTCTCAATTACGATAATCAAAGTTCATAGTGCAGAATAAATATTTGCTCTGTTTTTTTCCAGAAGTATCACATATACTCTCACTTTTAAATGTCAAGTACAAGTATGATTTTCAACACAATTTAAGCATACTGCAAACTTAAATTAGACACCTTCTGTCATTTCCTCATGGAGGCAGCAAACATTAGATTTAGGACCCAAGTTCTAGGTTCAAATAACTCTTTATTTAACCTCTAAGTCTTGCCTTCTTATCTGTAAATTGTGATCCATAATCTCTTCCTAACTTAAAGAGTTATTATAAACCTAAAGGAAATACCAGGTGTGGAGGCAATTTTTTTTTTAAGCAGTAAAAAGCTTTACAAATACCTGAATATCTTTCACAATGACTTGATCTTTCAAAGTGACTTAGCCATGAAATATGCACAGAATTTCTCAACAAGTTTATGCAGGATATTTCAAGTCTTCCTTTACTAGACATTATATAAAAGGCTCATTTGAAAATAAGTTGACATTTTAAAACTAGGACCTTTGATTTGTTATTTAAGCAAAGCTTACAATTTTAATATTTCATCAGCTCCCTGGATTATGGTTTAGTGAAAATGTGTGAAAAAGTAAACTTTGCAAAGATCTGTACCTACAACAGTAGAGGCACATGAGAAAACAGAAGGCAGGACACCCCCAGAGGGGCTGGAAGCAAGTTCCAAAGTCAAAAGTCCATTGACTTTCAGAGAAGGTACAGGATGTGGATAAGGACCCATGGTTCAACTGCTCAGCCACCATTTCCCTTTCCCCCTCAGTTCTCAAGGAACGAGTACATGTGTGACATCAACTGGAAGCCGCAGCCATCTTGGCACTCAAGCGCACCTAGGGTGGCAGTAAATCTGGTGAAGCTTATGTGCCTATGCTACACGTCTCACATGTCACAATATCCTTATTCCTGTCATTAGCGTCTAGCATAGGAGAAGGAAGTGGTTGTGATTCTCACTTAAACTCCCTTATCTTGGAAAATAGCATGGATTTGTCTCACATTCTGTTCATAATAAGCCAGTGATTGATGGCTGAGTCTCCACATAAATACAAATGCAGTAAGAACTCACAAAGCTCATGTTCATGTTATTTGCCAATCATCCTTTTAACCTCTTTCTTAAGAGTAGGGAAGTAAATACTGGTTCTTACTAAGGAACTTAACTCAGATCAAGAGTTAATGTTTTTAGATACTGAATAAATCAAGTTTTGAAAGATTCTTTAAGAATTCATAGAAAACACACTTACAAACCCATAAATTATTTATTTTAGTTGCTCTGTATACTTTTGGAGACAAGTGATAGTGCCACTCAATATTTTTCTAAACAAAATGTTATTTATAATTTGAGAAAGTAAGAAATAATCTTCTAAAGTTAATTAAAATGACAGGTTATGAATTTCATGTGAGAAAAGACAGACACCTTGCAATGTACTAAACATAGCTTCTTGAGCCTCATTTTATTGCGGGGGGCTGGGGGGAGAGATCAGCAATAAGGATAACGGGATAGTTAAAAACTCACCACACGTTTTTCCCGAAAGTCTATTCCTACTGTTGTGATGAATTTGGGGTTGAATTTATTGTCTGTATATCGATAAAGAAATGTCGTCTTCCCCACCCCGGAATCTCCAAGGGCCAGGAGTTTGATCAGATAATCATAGTCCCCATCGGTCATAGTGATGGTCTTGGTGGGCCTGTGGATGACAGAAAAAATAGCACGTTATGATTAAAGTTGGTTTTCCTTTACTTTTCTCAAAACACAGCATGGATTTAGTTTTCAAGGTTAAATTGTTTGACCACATTCTGAATTAACTAGTTCAAAACAGCTTTCAGGGGTAAGGGCATATCTGTTGTATCATTCAGTACAAATCTTTTTTTTTTGGTAAGACTTACTGACTTTTTTCAATGATTTATAAACTGGGCAGTGCCCCATCTAGCAGAGAGGAAGGATCTCTGAGGAGCAGTGCAAAATTTGCTTGTGTCATGTCTGTCACACATGGAACAAAAATCTAAATGTTGCTCTTACTAGCCATTGCCACAGCAATATAAGAACTTAGAGTCATATATATATATATATATATATTTTTAATTTTAAAGCCAATGTCCTTGGGCCTCCCTGTTGGCACAAGGGGTTAAGCACAGCATTGTGAAGCTAGCCGCAGCCTCTGCAGCACGAGTTCGATCCCCAGCCAGGGAGGTGACCCACGTGGCACAGCAGACCTCTCCTGTCTTGCCCGCTGCTCCACTCAGCAGCGTATTTCAGTCAGTCTGCCTGTTCTGCTCTCCACTGTCTCTGGTGACTCCTCTCACCCCCTACACCACTGGCCTGTTCCACAGTTCATGTATGCATAAATAAATAAATCTTTAAAAAAAAATAAATAAAGCCGATGTCCTTTGAAATCAAGAGTATGAAGCCACAAAGAGGAGAGAATCACAGGGGACTGGTAAACATGTCCCAGATGATGCAGGCATGTTAGAGAGAGACTGACATTATCTATGGGGAGTGTCAGAGAAAAGCAGATAGGAAAAATGATTTATATCTAAAAACACTGATTTGAAATCATTTCAGAAGTAATGTCTAAAAACCTTTGTTTTGAAATACTTAAGCCTCTGCTCTCCAATGGTAAATCTGATGCAACTGGCAGATCTGTTGAATATGTTCCAGGCCTTGAAAAAAGGGAAGAGCATTAAGAAGCATAATTATGGTAATTCTGCTATTGCTTCTTGGGACTGAGGGAATAATCACTTGCCATTACTTCCAGTGCTGTAACCTCTCCTGCCTCAGTGTTATCTCACCTGGTAATACAGTGACTATGTGTCAGGATGATCCAAGGGAACAAACCAGGTGTGGCTGCACAGGTAAGGCTAAGTCTACTATCATATGACTTTGGATGCCACCATCACCTACTAAATACTAAATATAGCCTGAAGTTTAGAAAAATGATCTGCCATTTGGTACAACTTTCTGGATTTGTGGGTTGGTCATATCCTTTTATAAAGGAAAACCTACGAAGATTTTCATAGAGTGAAAGTTTTTCTCTCTGTTCTATGGAAAGAAATCACTATACTATTTAGGAGTTCTGAGGTGTTTAAAATTAAATTTCAACAATACTTTATTACATGGACATAACCAAAATTCCAGTCATTTCCTGCATGTCAGAAGATGATGTATATATTCATTAAAGTAAACAAAACTTTATTTTTAACTCTGTCTTTGTAGTTAGTGGCTGAAAATAAAAGTTTTCATGCCTTGGAATAAATAATGATGAAGATGACAATTAGGTATGTAACAATCAGTATCATATCATTTGCAAGATTGCAATTTTTTACATTAAAATTTTCTAAAATTTGAATCATACTGCTGCTAAGTCTAATAAATGTATTATGGATGCATATTTTTTCAATTAATAGATATTTTTTAAGGCAACGTGTTTTGACTTACCAATATGTACTTTTTGCAAAAGCTTCCCTACCTGAGTAGGACTCTCAGGATGGATGTCTGCTGACCATGAACACTTTCTTTCTCCCTTTTAAATATCTGTGCAAAGTATAAGGATTGCCCAGGAAGAGATGCACTGCAGCCATCAGCAACCAGTCTTTCTTAATAGAAAGACAGATGGCTCAACTATTGATCTGAAATTCTCCTTGGAAAATGTCTGCATTGATTGACTGCCTAGCAGTCACTAGTTCTGAATTTCGATGGTTCTAAATATTTTCCTAGGACTTTAGAGTTGAAGAAGCCACTGCTTCTAGCCTTTGAAGCAAACTGTTTGCTAGAAGAGAGTATGCCAAGTAGACTGATTTCCTCCCAATTAAAGAAACATTGCCATCATTCTACCTTCTCTCTTCTCCCAATCCCCAAACTTGCTCATATAAAACCCTTCTGAAGGATGATAAAGCCTGTCATTGCACTAGTAGTATTAAATGAAACTGCTCGTTCTCTTGGGAAAAGAGATGAAATTGATTCTAAGTTATTTAACTGACCACACCCTTCTCTGGCCACACCTTTGATGATTACAAAGGAGAAACTGAAGCTACTTAGTTGGAGATTTTGTAGAGAAAGAAACACCTGCATTTAACCTTCTAGTACAGGGAGGAATTAGATATGATGGACCTGCAGGGCCATGGTGAGGGAGATTGTATCACACGTGTGGAATGAGATGATCATCACTTGCCAGTTACATGACCTACCATGTATGCCTGATCTGCAGCCAATTTGTTCTCTGTTATTTGTACATAAATCTGCCTGGGGCAGTACTGGGGGGTGCTGTGCTTCCCAATTAGGCTCTAATCCAGTTGAAAGATTCTGGTTAACATGGATAAAGTCCACTGGCCCATACTTGTTCTTTCCTATCAGTGAAGGGTGGAGGACACTGATATTTAACACAAATTCCGTTCTTAATGAAGGCAAATAATTGTAGATAACCTTTACTTCATGTCTTTACAGACTAAGGAAGTTGACATATAAAACTAGGCATGAGATAGGGTTAGCATCCTTGAGTATCCTTTGAGCATCCTTGAAGTTTCTTTTGAAAATGAATTTCAGCTGTCATCTCTACCTATACGCCTATTCTTCATTTTTTTTGTATTTCATTTCTCTTTTATTACCATGTGATTTCCTGAGTCCTAAATTTATGGGACCTCAATATTCTTAAGTTTTAATAGAGTAATTGCAAACATTCTGTCCTTGGCACTAAAAATATAACACCACAAAGAAAAATAAAAGCCTTGACAAGATTTCCATTTCCAAGAACTGGGCTAAAACATGGACTGGAAAGGATCAAAAAGCTGACAAATTTAGCAGTATTGTTTATTTTGTCACAGTTATTAATGATCTTGTCAGTACTTGGTTCTATGAATTTAAAAGGGAAGAAAAAGCCCGAAGGTTGCTGTATCTCAGGAAACACGCCTGACTCTCCATAATTATCACTGTGTCACCAACTCTACCACAAGAACCAGGAGATTTTTTAGATACAGAATCTAAAGCCTCATCCCCACAGCCCTTCACGAGTGGACAGTACGAAAAGGAAAACAAATTTAGTTACACCCTCGAGGCTCTGCTTAATGAGTCTTACAGGGAGAAGGAAACCTAAGCAATCATGTGATGGGCCCCTTCCCCCACTCAGTTTACAGATAAAAAGTCTTGTGCAGAGAATTTTCATGACTTGTGACAGAATAAAATCTAATACCATTGTTTTTTACCACTGAAAATGAAAATTGGGATAGGTAGAAAGTAGAAATATATTCATTCTACGTAGAAAGGGAATTTTCTCTGATATCGACAGAAACATGATTCTCATAGTTAGAATATCTAACATGTGGGTGCCCAGCATCTCTCTCTCCACCCCCATGCTTCATTTTTTCTAACTTAAATTCCATTAGCTCAGGATTTACTACTGTTGTCAGCACTGGACCTACAGAGTCCAGCACAGTATGAGCCCAAGGCCTATGTATTGAGTCTATAAGTATGTATAGGTATGTTTAAGCTTCTCAAAGTCATGCAAGATGTCATAATTAATAAAATTCATCGCTGAGCATTTGATGGAAGAAGATTCCTTCCAAGTCCAAGACGTCTATTTTCTTTCCATCCTCACCTATGTGTTGCATATTTAGATTTAATGATCACTATGCTGCCTTTCAAGTCTGGTTTCCTAAGCTCATTTTTCTGTTTTCAGTTGCAAAAGAGTATAAGTACTTAAAATAGAATATTTTATCATAAAGGATCAGTTTTAAATAACCTGGGAAAAGAGAAAGTACAATGGGACTATAATTTTGAAAGTGAGATTTGTGCTGAGAGAGAGCATGTGACACTGTCAGTGAGTAGGTCAGGGTTTAGAGAACTGGGGTCTTCTGGAAAGCATCCATTCACCACCTAACACGTGGCACTTCTTATTTTTCCATGACCCACGAAGACATTCTTTTGTTCTTTAGCGGAGGGCTTAACATAAACTTCAGTTATGTAGGGATGGCAACTCTACAGATGGAATTGGCTGTGCAAATTTCTGTCGTTCCTTGCTTATCTTCCAAGTAACTAAGGATGCCAGAAGTGATGACCTTGTGGCTTTACCCTATTCAATTAATAAAACCAATGTAATATTCTTAATTCACTTTGGAAAGCTTAAAATGGGTGACAAAGTATTAGTGATATTATTTTGCAGGCAGTGTGGATGGTTTCAATAAAACTGTCAAGCATGAAATGGACAGATGTTCAATATTTCCTCAATCATCTTTCTTTGATTGGTTTGTGCTGGGCTCCAGCAGGTGCATTTTGAGTACTGGGACTCTGAGAGCAAGTCCTTCATTGTCTGAAGGACAGTCTGAGGGTGCTTCACCAACTGACCTTGAAACACTGCTTCCCATAACCTCATCCATGCCCTGGAGAAGAGTTAAATTATGATGACTGCATTACTCTAGGAAAGGTAAATTTTTTAAAAATAAATTTTTTTTTTGTGTATTCTATAGCATTTTGGTCTGTTAAGAAGGTTTATTTGCTTTTTTTTTTTTGCAACATAAAGTTGTGCATTTTGTTTATTTTTTTTGTAGAGGTACCATTTATTTACATTGTATATGATTTAGAGGTAAGGTAATATACTGAAAGTTCTCCATAATAGTCCATTGTGTTCCCTCCCTACTTTTTTCTCCACCCCCTCCATCTGGTAGCCTCAATTTTACAGTTTGATTTCCAGAGTTTGTT